GCCTGACAGCCTGAGTTTGATCCCCAGAACATACTGCAAAGATGGAAGCAGAGAACCAACTTCACAAGGCTTTCCTGATTTCCACAAGCACATTGTGGCACGCATGTGCACCACACACACACACACACACACACACACACACACATGCGTACCCCCCCAATATTCATAATAAAATGTTAAAAGATTTTTATTGTGCTTAAACAAGCAAAACTGAAGCAAGCCTGAGACGATTTCCCACCACAGGCTCACCAAGTTTCTGTGTAACCCTGTGCTGGTTGGTTTTTGTCAACGTGACACAAACTACAGTCACCTGGGAAGACGGACCCTCAGCTGAGCCTTTTGCTCCATCACTCTGGCCTGTGGGCGCGTCTGTGAGGCATTGTCTTGTTAACTGTTATGAGTGCCCAGCTCACTGTGAGTGGTGCCATGCCTGGGCAGGTGGGCTTGGGCTGCATGAGACAGCCAAGCTAAGCAAGGCAAAGGGAAGCCAGCCAGGAAGCAGCAAGCAGCGTTCCTCCACCACTCCGCTTCACTTCCTGCTTCCAGGTTCCTGCCTTGAGTTCCTGAGATGGTTTCCCATGATGACGTACTGTGAGCAATAAGCCAAATAAACCCTTTCTTTCCCAAGCTGCTCTGGGTCAGTGTTTTCTCACAGCAACAGACAGCCAACTAGGACAGAAGCCAGCGTTCAGCCATAACCTTTTCATCTTGACTCCGTCCCACACATCCACCTTACCTAACCACAGTGGGTCTATGTCATAGTTTCTAGTTTCAACATGTCTCCCGCTCCTCACACACCTGATGTAGCAAGACACATATGCCTACGCCAACATCTCTGTTCGCCCCTTAACATTTGGCTAACACAGATTGGCTAATTTATTCACTTCCATCTGCACAGAGGCGACAAAAAGGAGCAGAGAGGCTGGGGGCGGGGCAGCGGGGAGTAGGGGCTGCTGCCACCGCTAGGTCACAGGTGCTGACAAGGGGGTATCAATCTACCCAGGACTGAGAGAGAACATTGCAGCAGTGATGACCATAGTATAGTGAGCTGTAGATGAACCGTTCCCCTGTGACACCAGAGTCCAAGGCTATTCAACCAACCTGCTCTAAAACAGAAATCCAGAAGGAAGCAAACTAATAGCGACAAGCATTTTATTCTCCGTGATGGCCAAATAACAAATGCACTGTTATACAAACCACTACTAGGGCTCTTGATCCTCCTAAAATCTGAACTATTTGAGGATAAGGCCTGAGTAAACAAGGTCTGTACCTTCCTTTGGTTCAGTTTAACACAGCAAACTGCAAGTGGACTTCCAAAACACCAGATGGATAAAACAGACACCGACTTTTCCTCCTTCCTTTAGTTTTACCAGTATTCTCTTTTCAACTGGCTTTGCCCTTCAGTTCTCTAGTGAATAGGTTCCACCACTGCCCCATTTATGATTTAAAGATCTAGTTTGCATCAACTTACCTGATGTTCTCCAGGCATAAGCCCAGCTCACCTGCCTCAGCGACAGAACTCTGTCTTTACCAACACCGCCGCTGCAACCTCCTGCCTACACAGACGGCTTCTCTCAAGTACAACACGTGGCTCCCAGGAGTGCCTGGTTCTCAAGGGACCGCCTCTAAACCTGTTGTTTGTTTACCACGGAGACAGCAATTTAGGTAATATATGTTTACTAAAAGGTCAGAATTTCTCTGGCTATAGTGATGCTGGGGAGAAAATCCAAGCAGCTGTTTACGTGCGACACGAGAACTTGCATGTAATGAACATCAGGGATATGAAATGATTAAGGCAAAAACATCAAGAATTCCTTCCTGGGTTGGGCGGGAGACACGGCTCCGCAGTTACGAGCACTGGCTGCTCTTGCAGAGGACCTGGGTTCAGTTCCCAGCACCCACATGGTGGCTAACACCAAAACTTAACTCCAGTTCCAAGGGATCCGACACCCTCTTCTAGTCTCCACGGGCACTGCATGCATGGGTGCAGTTATATGCACGCAGGCAAAACACTCATATACATAAAATTTTAAAAAAAGAAAGCTTTTTAAAAAAACTTTAAGTCCTTTCGGGAGCTAGAGAGACGATTCAGTGAGTAAAGTGCTGCCAAGCCTGATGACTGAGTTAAATCCCTGGGACCCACATGAGGAAAGGAGAGGACCAACTCCTACAATTACCTTCTGATCCCCCACTACCTACAAGCATGCATGTGCACACACGCACACACACACACACGCACACACATACACACACACACACGCACACACACAAAATCAATAAATATGTGTCAAAAAAAAAAAAGAATTCCTTCTTGACCAGCACGGATGGGGAAGGATCTCACCACGCGCCACCCCCAATAGAGGTGGTAATTGGCGGTAACTGGGGGAGAGAGCATCAGTTTTCTAGAGGGATGAGGTCTCTAGTGTGTTGCCCATGCCCCAGTGGCTGCCCTACACCCATATGCTCTAGTTTGATTCTGTTGCTGTGATGAAACACTGATCAAACCAACTTAAGGAGGGAAGGGCTTATTTCGTCTCACACTTTGAAGGCATATTCCATCTTTGAGGGAAGTCAGGCAGGACCTGAAGCAGAGACTATGGAGGAATGCTTCTTACCCACTTGCTCCTTCTGGCTGGCTAAGCCACCTTTCTTATACAGCCCAGACCCACCTGCCCAGGGATGGGACTGCTCACAGTGGGCTGGGCCTCCTACATCAATTAAGAATCAAAAAAAGGCCCCAGAGACATGCCCACTGGCCCACTGGCCAGCATATATGGGAAACAATAATTGGACTTAGTGGATTAAAAATAAAAAGAGAAGCCGGGAGTGGTGGCACACGCCTTTAATCCCAGCACTTGTGAGTCAGAGGCAGGTGGATTTGTGAGTTCGAGGCCAGCCTGGTCTACACAGTGAGTTCCAGGACAGCTGGGGCTATAAGGACACCCTGTCTCAAAAAAGACAAAAAAAACAATAAAAATAGAGCAGGCATATAGTTGGGTGGGAGATGTAGTGGTGGGGTCTGGGAGGAATTGAGGTGGAAGCAGAGAGGGGTGGTGATGATCAAAACACATCAGATACAAGTATAAAATTCTCAAAAAATGAATTAAAAATATATTTCAAAAAATGAATCCCTTAAGCATGGTAACAACATGGAATTAGAGAACGATAGCAACCAAGACATAGAGATCTGTTATCAACTACACACCCAGGGAAGTCCACCAGGTAGTCTAATAAAATGACTGGCAAGAATTTGAGGCCAAACAGTAGAACACTCCGAAGTGGAGATTCTCCTCCTCACTTGTATTCCCAGAGCTGTGGCTATGCAAGTCTCTCCAAGGTAACTGCATTTGGAGATCCTAAATTCTGCTATAGCCCTTCGACTAGCCAGTCTTCCAAATTTCAAAATGTGAAAGGCAAGATGCTAATGCTAAAGATGGAAGATTACCCGGGTGTCTGTACTGTCCATTCAGCCACTGCTGAGGCAGGCCAAGCTCCAGCACCTTGGCACTCTAGAGTCTGAGAAAAACACTTTCATTTTCACACAGACAATCAGTGTGAGGTACATGTTCACCAGGGGTACCAACACCATGTTGACACAGTAGCTTTGTAAAGTTTCCACTCAAGGCACTTAGAAAAAATTTTAAAATGAGCAGCTCTGTGAGTTTATACCAATATCTGATTATGAAATATCTGTCAATTCTGCATTTCAAATCTAACTACAGGAGTAGGAAGAAGCACATGAAACTGCTCCGCTCCTTCAACACACAGGACTATGGGAGAGAACTCACAGTGCCCTTCACGGAAACTCACAGGGGAGTCGTTCTATTACAGCGAAGTGATTTCCACAGCAGACATCTACAGGAACACCACAGGGGCCCCATGCTGTCTGCTTTCCACACTCTTGGATGAAATAAGTGGGCAACTCATAAAGAATAAGAGAGAGGAGATGCACAGAACAAGTTCTTCATCAATAATACAGTCACGCTCTGCCAATTACTAGAGTGGTGACTGTGTATCACACTTTCAAAGTAAACCAGAAAAAAAAAAAAAGAAAAGAAAAAAAATGTGGGTTTTTTTTTGTTGCATCATTAAGTAACTGGTAGACAAGCCACTCACAGTAGGTGCAGAGCTCAATAAAGATGGGTGGATGCCGCCTGTATCCCCAACTCATCTCATGCCACAATAAGACACATGAGTCAGCGCGGCACTTTAGGAACCTCATAAAATCCACTTAGGAAGGACATTTTGGAAGACATCCTATGTGCTTAATTTTCTGTAAACAAAGGATTAATAAAATCACAGTAGCATCTAATAGGACTTTTAATTCCTTAAGGATAGAAGCCAAGGCTAATCTTCAATGAATCTATTTGAGTGAGAGCAACAACCAGTGAAATATTCCCAGTCCTACGTTATATTACTAAGGTTCCAGAAGGAAATGAAAACAGGTCATTCTGCGGTGAATAACTGGCACTGGTCAGAGCTGTATGTGCTCAAACAAGACTGATTCCCAGGAGTGTTACCAAGAGCAGAAACTGACAGTAATGAAGTAGGAATTCCGGAAATACCTTGGTACTGTACTTCAGAATGAGTCCCTGTTAGTAGTCACATAGCAGCGTGAAATCAAACCCCAAACTGTGATGCTGAGATGCTCAAGTTCGAGCACCTGCTCTCCAGAGACACCAGAGATCAACGTGGTCACGGCCATGGACCTTATGACAGACTTGGAACCACTAAAGAACAGAATTCTTTTAAATCACTTTCCTTATTTCGTGAATAACCTCTCAAAGACAAATACAAATTTAAGATGAGAGGCTGGGTGTGGTGGCACATGCCTTTATTCCTAGCACTTGAGAGGCAGAGGCAGGTGAATATCTGTGAGTTCAAGGTCAGCCTGGTCTACATACTAAGTTCCAGGCCAACTGGGGGTACAGGAAGACCCTGTCTTAAAAAAAACAAAAACAAAAACAAAAACAAAAACAAGAAAACCTAGTAATACTCACAAACTCCGGAGTTCGGAAGTCCTGCTGACTCTCCAGTGATCCAAAGGTGGGGACAATCGTCTGTTCAAAATTTTCCAGCACTGAAAATAAATGAGTAAATAAAATAAATTAAATAATACAAACTTTCATTGGCTAGACACAGCAACAGGCGTTTGCAGGTTTACATTATTCAACACTCGGCTCTCAAGATCTTCAGCAACCACTTTAGCTCCTGGACAATGCCCTGTGGAGAGGTCTCGAAATGTCCTAGGCTGTGTCTAGCATGGAAAGTTACTCAGCGCCACAAGCAGTTACAAATTCCAGTCCAGCTAAGGAACTCATTAGAATGCTTACATCTCAACAGGGACTGATGGAGTCATTTGTGGAAGTGGTTTTTTTTCTTTTTGTTTTTTTAAAACATACTATATCTCTCAAGATCTTCAGCAACCACTTTAGCTCCTGGACAATGCCCTGTGGAGAGGTCTCGAAATGTCCTAGGCTGTGTCTAGCATGGAAAGTTACTCAGCGCCACAAGCAGTTACAAATTCCAGTCCAGCTAAGGAACTCATTAGAATGCTTACATCTCAACAGGGACTGATGGAGTCATTTGTGGAAGTGGTTTTTTTTCTTTTTGTTTTTTTAAAACATACTATAGGGCTGGAGGGATAGCGCAGCCATTAAAGGCTAAGGCTAACAACCAAAATGTAAAACACACTATAGAAGCAGAATCTGACAGAAACGTAATGGGA